CAACAACCCACAAATGGCCCAAACTCAAAAGGCCCAAAATGAAAGTCCGCAGGAGGAGTACGCTGGGCGTACCCTCCTTGGTACGCTGGGCGTACTGCAATGATCACCAACAGAAAACAGGGCATTGGCCCGCTATGCGGGGCATTCTCGAAGGTTACGCGAGGCGTAACTGCGAGATCCATAAGTCTTTCTAACCTCTTAACGGCTTAAGCTCTTAAGCCCAAACTTCAGATCCATAGGTCAAATATGATTAGAATTCATAAAGTCTCAGACTTTATCACTTGGGACGTCCTTAAACTCTTAATCCAAGGTCTTATTCCAATAAGACCTATATATCTCATACATGGAACAACTACAGCCCTTGGGGCCTCATTTTTATCACTCAAGACCTCTCCAAAGGTCTGAAAGGACAGCTAATCTTGACCAAATCGAAATATGCCACAAGGTGAGGACTTTTGGGACAAGAATGGTGACAAAGCTTCAAAATACATAGATCTATGCAATATGAAGGTCAAGCAAGAAGCTTTATACCTCAAACAAGCTCCAAAGGGTGGTATCTCTTCAGATCTACAAGCCCGACACGTTCTTCTTCTTCTTTGACAACTTCTCTTTTCTCCTTCAAGCCTTTCTTTTGCCCAAAAGAGTTTTCCAAGGTCAAACACACCCAACAATGGAGGAATACGGGTCTTCTAGGGTTTTCTGAGGTTAAGGATGAGTATAAGGAGGCTAAGGGGTGAACCAACATGTTCCTTATATAGTGGTGGACCCTAAATTAGGGTTTGGAGTTTCTGAGAGTACGTTGGGCGTACCTCTAGTACGTTGGGCGTACTCATCCGGCCAACCCGCATCATTCACCCTATTACGCTGGGCGTACGTCCAGCATACATTGGGCGTACCCAGCCAAACTTCAAAATACATGCATACATGCCATGCATGCATGGCACCTTTTCCCCACTTACTCCACAAAGAACTATAAACAATAATCATCTTCAAAACACCGCAAATCCTCTAATCTAAACCCGCTCCCAAATAACTTTACATTCATACGAGGGTGACGAGAAGCCCAATGCTTCTAACAACATACACCAGCCCGAAACTTTCTCGGATAGATTCCATTTCCCGAAAAAGGACCAGAATTACCCTTCCTCTAAAATCTCAGGGATTCATAATTAAACACTTAAAGAACGGGGTGTTACAATTATCCCCCACTTAAATTAGGCTTCGTCCTCGAAGCCCACGACAATTCTACTCCGAAACTACCCCTGCAATGCACCGCCTGGCATTCACCGGACCAAGCTACCCAAGACTTGATCATCGAAATCCGAAACCCCAACTTTACCTTTCTTGCTGACAGGATGAAACAAGCTTCAACCCTAGAGCAACTCCCACGAGTTCTCCACCGCAATCTCATAACCGCACCAAACTGGCTCTAGTGTCCTCGGTTTAGGAAAACCCCGATACACTGCTGACACTTCCAAACACCCTTCCGGATGCATTTTCACCACATAAACAAATCTATCTGGAATTCCGAAATTCCATCCATGCATTCCTGCCGAGCCTCAGCAACCATCCAGCCTGGATGTGCTCGCATACCACCGCCACAATCTCGCTGCTCATTGACCATAATTGGACCACTCCCATCATAACCCTACGCTGCTACTTCCACTTCCGTGAATTTACATTCCCTTAGCATGACTGCTATCCGTGCAACACATATGTCCTGAACGTGCTCGCAGGGACTCTCGAGTCCATGCACCATCTCCACTAATCACAATCAGTACCCGTGGCTAGACCTTCTAATGCTAACACATCACAACATACCCAGCCCATTTCCTCGAACCAATCTGATAATACCTACAGAGTCTTCAGCATGACTGGGCCACCTCACCAGGTCTTCAGTCAATCTGGACCACTCTCAAAACCTTCAGCCAATCTGGGCCGCCCTCCAGGGCCTTCAGTCTGGCTGGACCGTCCCCTGAGCCTTCGGCCTGACTTGTACGCCTACAGGCCTTCAGTCTATCCGGACCGCTCAACTAACATTCATCATTCCGAGTTATCTCTCCGGGAAATCCTCCCATGCATACTGTTCTAGCCCCCTAGGGGTTCCGAACTCTATCTCCATCATACATACTCGATCCCAGCCTGATTCCAGGCCCTTCACAATCAATGCCAGGTCTGTATCCCGCCCCGCACGCCTGTTACTCATCCATACCAGCCTGCTCTCGGCTGAAAGAAATACCGCCGAAACCCAAGCAGCTAAACAATCTCTTAAGCCTATCGATCATCCGGAGAATTTCCAATTCTCCCCCACTTAGGGCACTGACTATCAACCCCCATCTTCTCCTTTAAACAATCCCTATAAAACATATTCCCTACCACCCTTAGTCAAATATGAACCCATAGATTCTTCAAAATCTGAATATGAAGAACCAGCCATGAGTGGAGACGAAGCAGAAAAGACTCTCAGAGAGTGGGCCACTCAAGAAGTTAAACAACATCCCTTTTGTATTACTTTTTTGAAATCCCGAAACTTCAAAATCAAATCTAAGCTGATTCATCTTCTTCCCATATTCTTTGGTCTGGAAAACAAAGACCCAGAAAAATTTCTAAAGGAATTTCATGTGATTTGTTCAAGAATGAAGCCACATGTTGTCACTGAAGATCAGAAAAAGTTAAGGGCATTCCCCTTTTTCATTTCATGATTCATCAAGAGAATGGCTATATGAACTCCCACCTGGTTCGAACAATACTTGGATAGAACTCGTGAGGTTGTATTTAGAGAAATACTTACAATAAACGCGAGTTTCCAGACTCCGAAGAGAAATCCTAGGGATCAAATAAGGAAAAATATAAGTTTTACATACTTACTGGGAAAGGTTTAAGAAGCTTTTGGGTCGGTGTGCACAACATGGGATCAATGATTATCAACATTACAATTGCTTCTGTGAAGGTCTGACACCCATGTAGAGGCGCCTGATAAATGTTTCCATTGGTCGTTCCTTAGGAGATATGACACTAACTGAAATCCGAGAACTGATCGAGAAATTGGAAATAGGGTCAAAAAATTCTAGAAATGAAGACGAATGGTATCCAGATCAACCAAGGGGTGTCAAGGAAGTCAAAAATGGTCATCTGGAGTCCTAAATATTTGAGTTTCTCACGCTGATTTTCTAGCATTGTCTAAACTCTCAAAGTGAGATTGCCTTATTAGAAGAAAAGGGCAAGAGTGGTATGTTGCATGTAAGATATCCTGAAAGAAATGTACCCATTGATAAAGATTTTTTGAACTTTTATCCATGTGCGGTTTTACACAGTGAATCATCAAGTTCTGTATTAGAATACTTTTGGAGAGAATGGATTGCTTTAGTTACGTTGAGGTGAAATCAGCATGCATCGTTAACAGTTTAACTCATCAACAAGAAGTGGTTTAAAACTTTCGTATCATGGAGTAAGTTTCAATATAGAATCAAAGATTCACTGTTAAATCATAATGGTACCATGGCATACCTGAAACTAGGACATTGGGGACAAGAACAACCCTTTTTCATTTATAATATTGAGCAAAACCCAATGGCGTACCCTGATTGCATAGTCATCAACGTAAGAGTTACTTGTCATGTCCTTAAATGAAAAAGGGTTATTCTTGTCCACGACCTCCTAGTTTTAGGTATGACATGGTACCATTATGATTTAACAGTGAATCTTTGATTCTAGATTGCAACTTACTTCATGATACAGAAGTTTTAAACCACTTCTTTTTGATGAGTTAAACTGTTAATGATTCATGCTGATTTCGCCTCAGCGTAACTAAAGCAATCCATACTCTCCAAAAGTATTCTAATACAGAACTTGATGATTCACTGTGTAAAACCGCACATGGATAAAAGTTCAAAAAATTTGTCAATGGGTACATTTCATTTAGGATATCTTACATGCAACATACCACTCTTGCCCTTTTTCTTCTAATAAAACTGATTAATGATTCTGTGTATGATGAGATCCTGCAATACTATGTTAGTGAATGGTAGTTTAATCCCATACTATCTGGAGGAATTATAAACTTACTGGGTGACCGTCTCAAGTTACTTGTTGATTGCCCACGTTGATGTTCATTGTTGCTAATGACGTGTTTGATGTATCTATCTTATCTAAATAGTAACTTTTTGAATGATGATTAAAAGGTATATCATTATCTTGGAATACAAAAAATTTACAGTGGAGATCTCTTTAGTCATGATTACGTAAAAAGGAAGAATTTGTTTTGGGTATAAATTGGGAGTTCACCGCTCTAGGTCAATTTTACAAACAATTCAAAGAAATTGACACTCTCACAAAAAGACTAATAATCATCATCTTCCTCAAATCTTTCACCATGTCAAAGTCTCTATACAAGTTTGCTCCCAGCAATAACGTGTTCAAAGGTCCTCAAGCTCCTGAATCTACCATCATCATTCAATCCACCAATATAACGTTCACAGATGAAATTCCAATGTAGTTCACAAACTCACGAATCGAAGACTTTGTAAACTATGTCAAGAGCGGTCCTCTTCTATATGTATTTTTTATTTCTCGGACCTATTTACCCTAAACAAGTATGTGAGCTTTACTATACATGCTCTGTTGATATCGTTGCTCGAACCATCACTAGAACCATTACAAATTGTCAATATAGGGTTACCATTGATATAGAATCCTTTCGAACTGCTCTTCGTCTTCCTCGATTTAAAAGTTACTCTAAAACTCCCTTCGAAGAAAGTTGCAAATCTTTGAGAGAAAAATTAGGGTATAAGTTCAATCTTTCGGGCCTCACTCCTGATCCATACAAGAACACTCTTCGTCAATGTTTTAATGTAAGGTGGAAGTACTTAACAGTTGAGATTGGAAAATTTCTTGGTCACAAGACTTGAAGTTTAGATCAATTGAATATCTTTGAGCAAAGGATTTTATATTATATTGTTTACAATAAGAAACTAGACTTTGCTCAAAATTTTCTTGATCAAATGGTTGACTGCATTACCAGGAACATGAAGCCATTGAATGTTCCTTATCCTCGTTGGCGTGGTCTGATCTTGTCTCGAAAAGAAGGTTGTGTTGAAATTCATGGAATTATTATTCCAATTCCTGCCCTCTCCTCAAAAATTATCAATGTTGCTCCATCTCAGGATGATTTGCCTATTACTGCAAGGATGAAAAAGTGGATTGAAAACCCATATATGGTTGAATCCTCAGACTCTAAAGAGGATAATTATAATGATGATGCTAGTAATGAAGAAGATAGTGATGATGAGGATGATAATAATGTTGATGCGGGTGATGAAGAAGATAATGATGCTAAGAATGATGATGATTCAGAAGTTGTTAATAAAGAAGGGTCTGATGAGGAAGAAGGCACCAATAAAGATGAAGTATAATCAGCAGCTGACGTGGGAGAAGACACTCCGAAAATGAACTCTCCTCCAATGATGAACAACCACATTAGTTTTTCAACTACTTCTTCATCCTCTTCCTTTGCTGATGACATTGTACCTCATGGATCAACTCCTCATGTTGGAGATATTACTGAGCCAATGATCCAAGATGAACTTTCTCCAAAACCATCTCCTTCTCCCCAAGTTGATAATGTTCCTCAAGTTGAGACGGTTCCCCCTACGAAATACCCATTACTACTACTGCTTTTCATTAGGCTGATCAGGAAGCATCCAGATCCAACTTTCAAAAATGTGGTGCTTTCCCAACTCTCTCTAATTGTGCAGATTACTCAGTCAATAGATAGAAGGTTAACTAAAGTTGAAAGGGATATGGCTACAATGAAGCGATGTATGGTTTTTGGCGATGATGATGAGGATATGGTTGTTGATGACACCCCACCAAGCACTCCAGGTGATAAACCTCCTCCACCTCCACCTCCATCAAAAAATCTTCTTCCACCATCCTATCCCCCTCCAAGCACTTCTCCTCCTCCTCGTAACTCTCTTACCTAATCTAATGTTGCCAACAGGGGGAGAACAGTCAAGGGGGTCCTCAACCAATGCAAATGTAAGTGACGATTGTACAAACTCCATCTCAGCTTGAGATAACTGGAAGGGTTGAAGCTGAAGCTAATCTTGAAAAGAAGATTGTTTTTGTTGATATTCCAGATGTTGATGTTACAACTGATCAGCGCATTCCAGACACTAGTGAACACTCAGAAGATGATGACTATGAAGGGTTTCTTAATCTTGGTTTCATGCAAAAAGTTGTTGTTCCTGCTGTTCCCTTAAATTTTGTCTACCATGGTTCTTATTTTAAGGGGGAGATTTCTCTAGAGGTTCCTCAAGGAACTGATATTGATATTGAGTATGACAATGATCAGCTCAATCCTCGAAAGAGTAAGGCTTCCTTCTTAAGGGGAGCTTATGATGTTGAAGCTAGAAGTTTTATGCTGTTGTTGGTGATCTTTCCACATCTCCTGCTAAAAAGAAAAGCAAATTCATCTTTGATATAAATGAATTGGTGGAAACATGGAGTTTAGCCATTGAGGAAGTTAGAAAAATAATGGTAGAATATAATGTTGTTGTTCTTCAAAAGAAAGAAGAAAGAAAAGTAGAACGTCTGTCTACCAAACTTGCTTAAGCTCTTGTCTCCACTAATGAGAATGCAAATATTCAAAGTGCTGATAATCAGGTCAAGAAAATCTTCAATAATAATGCGGAGAAACAACACATTGTTTCAGACCTAAATGACCAGATTGATAGGAAGAAGTTTGGAGATGTTCTTACTCACGGGTCAAAGCCTAATCCTATCATCAAAGTGAGATTCACCAAACTAAGGAATGAGTCACTGAAGCTTCACTTAGTTAGAAAGAAAACAAAATATGAATACACTGAAGTTGTTTATGCTCGTGAGCTAGTCAAGTTTGGCTACGGCGAGTGGACAAAAATTCAAGGAATTAACGACAAACACAAGGGTGTTCATGCTCAAGAAGTGAAGTTGGTAATACAGCAGCTACTCAACAAAGTCAAGAAGCTGAATCTTGTGCCATCAGTTGGTCCGTCATCAGCCGGTCAATCAATACCATCCTCCTCAGGCAGAACTCGTGCTCCCAGAAAATACAAAAATACCATGTGTCTTCTTCCTTATAAAACTCAGTATATCAACAATGAATTACCAATGGGTGTTGAACTAGTCCAATATACTTTCAGTCCAGAACCAGAGCATGGGATATTTTCTCTTGACAGACTGAATCATATGTGCTATCGACGCACTGGTGACCTTCCTTCTGCTCCCACTGAACATTTATTTCATCTTCGCTTGCAAGTACTAGGTCACTATGTACTGGAAAAAGGATATTGTATGCTAATATCACTGAAGCTTAGTAAAAGACGGGATGAAGTTAAGCTTGATCAATTCAGATGGGTCAAGCTTGAAATCTTAAAAGAAGATGAAAAGTTCTACAATGGCTCTTCCGATGACTCTGAAGAAGAAGTTTAGTTTTGACATCATCATATAGGGGAGATTATAAGGTTACACCTTGTGATCTGATTAGTCAAACACATGACACATTGATAGGTCAGGGTCAGCTTCTACTACATCAACAACACCAACATATCAAGCTTATTAACATCAGCTTATAGTACAGTTATCCAATTGTAATCTTTTATATATTAGGAAATAATATAGATAAGTATAGAATAGATCATAGATCTGGTATCTTTGTGATAAGATTGGTTCTTAGTATATATTAGATGCAATCCCTTGAATCATGGGATATACATACATACATATATATATATATATATATATATATATATATATATATATATATATATATTACTATATATACAACATTAGGGAAAACCCTAATGTTGTGAACATGGATTGGTGTCGTAATCGTCTTTGTGACAACCGTCTTCTTGGTGAGGACAAAACATCTTTCTTGGTGAAAGAAACAATTTGGAGAAGTCTCTGTGTCTTTTAAATTTTGATCTTTATTTTTCGTTGTTTAAGTTTCTTTTTAGTCTTTATACTTGAAGTGTGACATCCCCAAAATCACGGCCAGAAAAGACCGGTTTTGTTTATACTTTATTTCAAAATCAGAGTTATCTTTTAATAAAAGGGTTGCGGAATTTGTCCCAAAACAATAATATGATAAAGATTTATCAAAAGCATTTCCATAGAAATGTATTTCATTAAAAGACTCGGGATGTCATGTTCGTACAGATCAAAAGTATAAACAGTACAATATAAGCCTTACTACATTATTTCATATCTACAGGCCTATATCCGTAATCCCTCGTCCAAAACATCACACCTATGCTCATGCGCCACTACCTGTAATGCATAAAACTGAGTGGGTCAGGCTTGGGAGCCTGGTGAGCACATAGGGTTTTCAACCCACAATAAGTTTATTAATTTCATCAATCAACAATAACCCGATTACCCGTTCCCGTTATCCTCACTTTACGTCCCTAAACACCTATCATAAGGGACCTAGCCTAAGGATCATCATCGGGACGGACACTACTGCTAAGGGGATTCCTCAGCAATAAATGTCCTAATAGGCAACCATGTGGGGGATGGAGTACACCGGTGAACACATCGTTCACAACACCTACAGGTTGCGAACCTGCTAGTGTTCCACTGGACTGTCTAGAAGAGTCCGTGGTCGTCATCTATACTCCGCTAGATGACTGGATCAACAACAACAACATCGAGGCCTCTCATCATTTTATCACACATCACCTATTACATCTACCCATGTTTTACCCCAACATTTTCGTAGATATAAAATACATATACAGTTTAAATCATTGAAAACATGTATAACAACGTTCATCTAGCATAGATAGCAAGTATTCAGATAATATGCACACATAGCACGTAATTTATATAAAATACTTCATATCTATGTGTAAGTTGAAGGTAACTATGCACTCACCGGAAAAGGTGGTGATTCCGAACTCAGACAGCGCTTCGCTTCTTAAAAAGAATTTTTCTTCGACGAAACCTAGTATTATTACCACTAGAGTTTAGTTTATTATTCGTCGAGACTAATTAATAGTCTAGCTATTATTATTATTATATAAGCGTCAAAAAAATACTTATATAACCCATAATAATAGCCCAAGTATTTATTATAAGTTCCTAATAACGTTACTATAATTAAATAAAAGTTATATTAAAAATAGCGTAGGCGTAGCTCACTTACAGCGGGTTTTATAGAAAACCGGGCTTTGCTTGGAGCAGCGTTCCCGAGCCGAAAAGCTCTTCTTCTCAGAGCCTTCGAGCACTCCGGGGCTTCCGCCTCGTGCTAGGGAGGTTCCCTAGGCTTTTCGGGGGATTTCGGGGCTAGAGAGAGGTTCTAGAGAGAGAGAGAGAGTAAAGAGAAGAAAGAATGGGAAAGGTGTGAAGAAAATGAGGGTGGGAGAGGTGGTATTTATAGGGTGAAATGTGGCTGAACTTGGTGCCACATGTCACCATCTGGTGGCAAGCCTTGGGGAGAAAGCAATGGCCAAGATTGTGCCACATCACCCATTTTCGCACAGCACACTTCCGACTTCTAAAATCCGTAACTTTCACATACGACCTCCGTTTTTGACGTTCTTTATATCCACGCGTAGGTAATAATAAGATCTACAACTTTCATTTTGACACCGTCAGCTAATTCTCGACCGATCTTAAATTTAACAGTACAAGGAGATTATACTGTTAAACGTCTGCGTAAAATTAATAACTTCTACATACGGACTCTGTTTTTGTCTGTCTTTTTACCGTTGATTTCCTATTAATGAGATCTTCAACTCTCATTTATGTTGCGTAAGCCAAAAACCGCTCGAACTAAAATTCGAGTTTCAGGCCGTGCACTGCTAAGCCGAATCTTAGAAAAATCATAACTTCTTCATACGAAGTCAGATTTGGGCGTTCTTTTTATCGATGTTCTTAGTTTAACATATTCTACGACTTTTGTTTAGATTGCTAAGGCTAAAAAGTCTTCTATCGTAAATTCACTATTTACGTCTCCCGGTGTCGTGCCGGTTTTGTCGTAAAACTTCGGCGGGCCATAACTTCTTCTTTATAGCTCGGATTTCGGCATTCTTTATATGCACGGAAACCTTGAGACATATTCTACAACTTTATGTAGAGATATCGGGATTATCTCACACTTTAATTTTGACGCTCATTTTTATTCTTTATTAATTATACATTTATAATTAAATAATAAACACATAAACACACATAATTCACATAATACTCAAATATTTCATATTTATTACTTCAAAAAGAGTTACAATAGTTGACCTAGACTATTACATTGACAAAAATGCTTAGCCCTGAAAACCCGGGCGTTACAATTCTCACCCCCTTAGGATGATTCCGTCCCGGAATCATGCATCAGCAAACAGATGTGGATAGCGACTCATCATGTCATCCTCTGTTTCCCAAGTGAGATTCGGCCCATTCGAATGTTTCCATCGGACTAGCACCAAGTCGACCATCTTGCGTCGTAACTTCTTAGTCTTACGGTCAATAATTGCCTCAGGCTCTTCGATCAGCCTTTTATTCTCATCCATCCTTAATTCCGAGATTGGAATTATGTCGGGAACATCTCCCATGAATTTCCTCAAATAACACACATGGAAGGTGTTATGAATACCATTGAGTTCTTCGGGCAATTCCAGCTTGTAAGCTTGGTTCCCAATCCTCTGAAGAACTTTGAATGGTCCAATAAACCTTGGACTCAACTTTCCTCGTTTCCCAAATCGTATAAGTCCCTTCCACGGTGAGACTTTAAGTAAAACGGAATCCCCAACTTCGAAGGTTATCGGTCGTCTTTTCTTGTCGGCATAGCTCTTCTGACGATCCTGAGCTGCTAACATTCTTTCCCTAATCACCTTCAATTTCTCAGCAGTCTCATGGACTATCTCGGGGCCCATAAACTGCTTCTCTCCGGCTTCAAGCCAACAAGACGGCGTACGACACTTCTGCCCATACAAGGCTTGATAAGGAGCCATCTTGATGCTCGAGTGAAAACTATTGTTGTAGGAAAATTCTACCAGAGGTAAGTGCTCGTCCCAATTCCCTTGGAATTCGAGGGTACATGCTCTCAGCATATCTTCCAACGTCTGAATCGTTCTTTCACTCTGACCATCAGTTTGCGGATGGTAAGCAGTACTCAAACACAACTTTGTACCCAACTCCTCTTGTAGACTCCTCCAAAACCTTGACGTGAAACGACTATCACGATCTGACACAATCGTAAGAGGGACACCGTGAAGTCTTACAATTTCCTTCACGTAAGCATTTGCGAGCTTATCCATAGACCACTTCTCGTTGGCGCTATGAAGTGTGCACTCTTGGTGAAACGATCCACGACTACCCAAATCATGTCGTGACCATTCTTCGTTCTGGGCAGTTTAGTCACAAAATCCATGGTGATGTCTTCCCATTTACCCATGGGTACAGGTAAGGGTTCTAAACTCCCATACGGTTTTTGATGTTGTGCCTTAACCCTCGCACATGTTACGCACTCAGCCACATACTTCGCAACATCGAGCTTCATCGTCGGCCACCAGTAGTAGGGTTTTAGGTCCTATACATTTTAGTGCTACCGGGATGAATCGAGTACATGGTCTTGTGTGCTTCTTCCATTAGAAGATCTCTTATTCCTCCCGTCTTAGGTACCCAAATTCGATCTTGGAATACCTTCAGTCCTCGACTGTTCGTACCGAACACTAACGTTTTTCCCAAACGTTCTTCCTTTCGGTCATTCTTTTCTAAGGCTTCTTCTTGAGCTTTCCTGATACTTTCCACAATCATCGAGACGACTTCAATTCTTAACGCTCTTGGCCTTCTTCTTTCAAGATTGACTTTCCGACTGAGAGCATCAGCAACAATATTTGCTTTACCTGGGTGGTAAAGTATCTCACAGTCGTAGTCCTTGAGAAGTTCTAGCCAGCGTCGTTGCCTCATGTTCAACTCCTTCTGATTAAAGAGATACTGGAGACTCTTATGATCAGTGAAGAGCTTGCACTTCGTGCCGTAGAGGTAATGCCTCCATATCTTTAAGGCGAATACTACCGCTGCCAACTCCAGATCATGAGTGGGGTAGTTCTTTTCGTGCTCTTTCAATTGTCGAGATGCGTATGCTATCACCTTTTCTCTTTGGGTCAGAACACAACCTAACCCGACTCCAGATGCATCACTATAAACTGCGAAATCTTCGACTCCATCGGGTAGAGAAAGTATCGGCGCTTCACATAACTTCTTCTTTAGCTTCTCGAACGCCTCATCGTGTTTCTCACTCCATGTATACGTAGCTCCTTTATGGGTCAAAGCTGTTAATGGAGCAGCTATCGAAGAAAAGCCTTGGATAAATCGTCGGTAATATCCGGCTAATCCTAGAAAGCTTCGAATCTCCGTGGGATTCTTCGGACGTTCCCACTTCATTACAGCTCGATCTTGGCAGGGTCAACCATTATTCCTTCTTGGTT